TTAATACGCAACAAATATCTTTGTGTCTTTGCATATGATAAACAGTTTTATGTTTCCAAAAACTTAAAGAATCAAGAATTAGAAATAAATCGCATAGAACTGCGCTCAGCAAAAATCGATAATACATTAAGGGGTCGATTTCATTCTGGCAATTCATAATATTTTAGTTATTAACACCTTCTTATTGCCAGCTCATCTCACACATATCACACATTCCCCACTACATAATAGTGTGAACATAGGTGTACCTACTAGATGCGGCATTTATTACTTTTAATCAAGCTAATTGCGTCGGCAACGGCAACTACAATTAATCAGCTCCGTTCGGTAATAACTTCCATTAAGCTTAGCAAACAAGCATATTTGCCAACGTTGCGCATATATTTCAATATATGTATGTATGTACATAGGAGTATGTGTATATGGCCGACCGACAACATAACACTCAACCCTCCTACCTACAACACATTCCCACGCCCTTTCGCCGCCATTGGTACTCGTATCCGGTAACCATCCATCCATTCAGCTGCTGGCAACCGTTTCCAATTAAATGGCAACAAAACCGTTGGGATTTTGTCTGCTCCCCGACCGCCTTGTGTTTTGTGTAAATAATCATATCGCAGGCAAATGTTTAATGATATGAAATTAATGTGCAAATATCAGTCAGCGTTGCCATCAGCAACAGCAACAACAACAACACTTTTCCAATGCTCATGCAAAAGTGAGAGCTTTCGCGCCCACTGTGGATTTTCTTATTTTTCGAGAGCAACTGCTCATCGCAGGTAAATGTTAATGATGAGTCGTTCGATTGGCAGCTGTGTGAATAATTTGAACAATTGCCTGAATTGTAATCGCCATTGTCGGAGCTAATGGCCGTGGGCTATCAAGCCCTCCCACACCCACACCCACACCCATCCACTTATCGGGCAGGCCCACATCAATTTCAATTTTGGCAATTTGCAGGCAGCGGGCTGAAAACTTCTGTTCAAAAGTCAATTTACGCAAATTTGCGCCATTGTCGATTTTCATTTGAATGCCAGGCACACACACACACACACACACACACACACACACAGAGAAGATTCAAACACTTTAGTGCACAGGCACACACACACACATACATATGCATACAGCAGCCATTACACTCACTTAGAAATCTGCCCCACCCACAGTTGAAGAAACACACAAATTATGTTGTTCGACTCGGGCCACAATTGCTTTGCATTTTTATGCCTCCCCTGCCACGCCCATTTGCCGCCATGGGCGTGCTTTGTTTGTAACTAAGTCGACACACATTCTCCACATATACTTATGCATAAAATATAAGTCCCACATTTAAGTTTGGAAGCGTGTGTGCGTGACAAAAAAAAACTATTTTTCTCTACGGTCGGTCACGCACGAAGTAATTTCTCAATTTAGTTCTGCAATCAGAAATAATGAAGAAAACTTGTCTATTCTAAGTGAAGCGTATTTTATATAGTTTCCCGACACAATACTTATTGCTATTAATTAATTGTTATTTGTTTAGGTTTCTGTTTTGTACTATTTCTTGACTTAAGAGATCTAAAGAGTGCAGACCAATAATTTTCAGAAATTTATTGCATTTTGGAGGAAAGTCAAAAACTTATCTGCTGGTATAAAAAATGCATTTCTAAATGAAAAGTTTTTATTAATCAAGTTTTATTTATATAAATCCATGTGCAAATTATTTGTCTAACGTAACATATAAATTTTCTCTACAAAATAATACTTTCATGTAGAAATCTTTTAAAAGTACTTTTTAAATTAATTAAAAATTATTTACAAATAATTAATCATATTTGGATTTATTTAGAGCACATTTTAGATTTTATAGGCAATTTAAAATATATGATTCTATGCCTCTAGTAGTATGTTTTAATATCGATATTGCTGTTAGCAACTGTTATTTATGTTTCATAATTTTTGTAAAATTTATCTCAATTTATTTGAAAAATATCGCAGTTTTGCAACGACATTCGATTTACGAACTTCTTAATTATTTAAAAAATCGAAACCATATACGAATTCAATTTAATTTTTCACTTGCACACGCACGTTCAAGCACGCTCACGCACAACTCTGTCCAGCTCATATATGCCGCGTTTATATGTGTTTGTATGCATTAAGGCATAGGCACACAATTTACGCCTATTTTCTTGGATTACTCAACGCCCATAAATATTTCCCGCAATTTAAGCCAACGACAGCTACAACAACAACAATCACAACAACAACAACCACAAAAAGAACTACAACAATAGCTATAGCTACAACAATACGTAGCTATGGAACAACACATCAGCCAGAGATTTGATTTTACTCAGTTTCTGGTCGTCTCGAGTTTTTATTGTCCAGCAAAAGCGACGAAATACGCATGAAATTTGATTTGCTTCATTGAATTGATTTCATTTGTTTTGATTTGTTTCCGAAAATACGCCGAAACGAAATTGGAAACGAGAAACTAGCAAACGCACACAGTCACACCAACACACACACACACACACAGAGAGAGACGCACCCACACAAGCACCGATACACTGATACACCGATACTTGTACGAAATGAATACATTTAGAAGCCTAGTTTCCTATTCGGTTCTGTTCGGGCCGATGGCTATATTGGGCGACATGGTTGCTGGCGTTGCGGTTTATTTTGATTTTGTTGACTGACAAGGCCGCCAAGTTATCGCATGACTTTCGGTTATGTTGTTGGCATTCTCGTCGCTCTTGTTGTTGGCCGCTGGCAGGCATTCAACACTTGGCAAGCTCGACATTAAAGTGTCCGCAAATATTTGGCATGCCAACAACAACATATGCCAGCCGGGCAGAGAACGGCAAAAACAATAGATGTCGAGTGGAGAGTTGGAATCTGGGCTTTAGACTTAAGTTGGCCCACTTTACAAATGTTAGTTTTTAGTGCGCCTTCGTTAAGCCACCATAAACAAAAGTGCCGCTCAATCAAATTGCAAATCCAGCATTTCAGCACACAAGCACACGCACACACACACCACATCAACGTCAACAGGACACATAAAAAACAAAATGGGCACCACATGGTAAGCCTAGACATTGTAGGCTGCTGTGGGAAACCCTTTTTGGATTAACAGATCAACGCACAAATGACCCAAACAATCACCAGAAGTCCGCCACAAGCCGCACACTTTTTGTGCCAGAGTTGAGCATAAAGGCGGATATTTGTCCTGAAAAGGCATACACTTTAGTCGTTCGTGCTGTTAATGGACATTTAATATTTAAATCATCCAGGCTTGAAATCAAATAGCTTCCATAAATAGTTTTAGATATTTTTAGATATCGGTATCTTATTTGAATTCAAATAAAAAATGAAATGTTCTTAGATGTCTATAGTGTTTATTTTTTAATTAATTTTATATAAAATAATTTAAAAAAATTTTATTTTAATTAGTTATTTAAAAAGCGTTTTCATAGCTTGTCGGACTGGCTAATAAATTTTCCCCCAATGGGTCAGTGATTCTTCACCTTTAATATTTAATTATATTTTATCTTTTATTATTTAAGTATTTTAATTTTAATTAGTTTTCTTCTAACTTTTATTGCTATTTTTTTCATCTCCACTTCTTTTTTGATAGGTCTAATAACGTTTCTGACTACTTTCTGCTGTGAAACGGGGCATAGCTGGCCGTTTGGCAAATAAAATTCCCCCACAGTGTCGGATTCGCTATTAGATATTTTTGTCATTTTTATAGGCTTTTTTATTTATTTATTTATTTAGTTTTACTCAGTTTAAGTTCTCTATTGTATTGATTTTTTTATGTATATCGACTGCATTGTTTGTCGATGGAAAAATAAATAAAAATAAAAATAAAAATAAATAAATAAATATTTACTATTGTCTTATTTTGTCCCAAACTTGAATTTATATATATTTTTCCCCCATCAACGGCTTACTAATCATTTTTTAAGACCTGTATGCATATTATTTTTAAGTTGTTTTTTAAATAAATATAAATAAATATTTACTATTGTCTTATTTTCTCCCAAACTTGAATTCATATATATTTTTCCCCCATCAACGGCTTAATAATCATTTTTTAAGACCTGTATGCATATTATTTTTAAGTTTTTTTTTAAATAAATATAAATAAATATTTACTATTATCTTATTTTGTCCCAAACTTGAATTTATATATATTTTTTCCCGCATCAACAGCTTACTAATCATTTTTGATGACATGTATGTATTTAATTTTTAAGTTGTTTATTAAATAAATATAAATAAATATTAACTATTGTCTTATTTTCTCCCAAACTTGAATTTATATATTTTTTCCCCATCAGCAGCTTATTTTTATTTGTTTATTTTATTTATTGACAAATTTTTTTGTTTGACTTAAAACAGACTAACTATAATTCTAATCACACTTTATCTCCTTGGTTGCTCGTTTTTTACAAAGCTGCAGCTTTTGTCCATTCTGAATAAAATAAGTTAATAGTCTTTGGCAGCAATTTGAGAAAAAGGCTTATCATTCACCTTTCACTACTCAGCTTCGATCTTAATTAGCAGAAATTGACTTGAAATGGATTAAAAACTTTCTTTCATCCGATGCTCACCTCTAATTTGGACTAATGATTGAGCATGTTTTTGTGGACAGAGATTTTCATGCTTTGACAAGTTAGCTTTCACCATTCCGGCCGTGTTGTGGTTGGAGAACTCTTTACAAATGTAGTGGCCGAATTAATTAATGGACTTGGAAGTTCATAGAGCAGCACATTTTTTAAGCCAGCCGCAGTCGCTGATGTCAAAATGAAAAAGTGCTCTTTGTTAAATGGCGCATAAAAGTTGTACTTTATAACTCCCACACACACACACACACACACAGACACACACAAACACACAAACACACAAATACACACACACACAGCAGCGCCAACACTCGTTCTGTCGCCAAAGCTTCATCACAAAATTGTATTTTCTACTCCACGTTGACTTTGGAAACTACTTGAAATGTAAAAATGTTCAAGCGGCAACTGGAAAAGAAAAGTTACAGAAACTTTGAAGGCTCACGTAATTATGCGCATTGCACCGCTGCCACTTATCCTTGCGACTCTCCTACTTCTGATCACATTAACGAGCTCGCAGGCCCAGGAGCTGCACCGTCAGGTAAGGGAAGACTCAAGCTGTTCATGGATTTTCGAGAGGTGAATCATCAGAGCCCGTTTATCCGCAGTTTCAACGCATGGGTCACGGAGAGGGCGAGGAGTGCGGCAGCTCTGACCACCAGGCTGGCTGTGGCATGACTTTAAATCGAGGCAACTCGAAGCAAACGGCCACGAATATAGCCCAGAAAGCCGCCCAGGAAGCCAAGCAGGCTTCGGACACACAACAGCCGGCGGCCGAGGCTGCTGCCCGGCAAGTCAAGACGCAGTTGGCCGAGAAGGCCTTGCAGGCGGCCAAAGCAGCCGAAGCGGCTTTAGCGGGCAAGCAGCAAATTGTCGAGCAACTGGAGCAGGAGGTGCGCGAGGCCGAGATGGTGGTGCAGGAGGAGAGCTCATCAATGAGCAGCTCCCAAAGCAATCTGAACTCTGCGGCCACGGCCGCCAAACAGGCACACTTCCTGCTACAGGCCCTCCAAAATTCCATCAAAATAGCCCAGGAGAATGTGGGAAATGCGGATGCGGCGGCCAGCGGCGCCCAGCAGGAGCTCATCGAGAAGACCCAGCTGGTGGAGGCGGCACGCAATCGTGTGGAGATGCTGCTGCGCCAACTAAGCTCGGCACGGGCCGACTATGGGAATACCAAGAAGGCTGCCTATAAGGCTGCCTGTGCGGCCAGCGAGGCGCGACAAAAGGCGGCACGCACACGAAGGAGGCGTGGCGGCCATCGACCACAACAGCATCAGCAACAGCAACAGCTTCTGCGGCAGCAGCAGCAACAACAACAACAACAGCAATTGGAACACGAACACCAGTTGCAACAACAGCCGCAGTACCTCGAAGGCATCTCTTGATTTTGTACTCTTTAAGATTTCATTATATTTTCTAATTCATTTAAAAATACGATTTCCCAGACCAAGGTTATTAGATTTAAAAAATTCCTTACACAAACCAATCTACATCAATGTCCTTCTGCTACTTCAAGGACGAAGCACAGTAACAGAAACAAGAAGGAAAAGTGTGCAGCCAAAAAAAGCGTTGTCTGCACGCCACACTTTAAATGCTCTTTTTGAATGTGGTGTGCAGATAAGAAGAACAAAATATTTAACCAAACCAAATACTGTGTTCAACAATATTCCAAACAGTTTCCATTTAATTGACTAATTAACTAAACAGATGCTTACCTCCTACCTTCCAAATCCCGTCAGATTAGTATTTAGAAGCATTGCTAATAACAAAATTATTCCTTGCCAGTGAAGAGGGCAGCCAAACGGAGACAAACAATGTTAGTTAAGGGGAGTACAGAGAAGACACAGTTTATGTTTTACATTATTGATATTTACTTAAAACAAATTTATTTTTTAAATTTAATTTTATCGACAAACATAGCTGTCGATTCGAGAGGCAAACCCAAAACAATGCATAACTTATACTAAATAAAACTAAAGAAAAACAAAGCCTATAGAATAGCTGATGCTTCTTCTATTAGCTTAAATGATTAAGAATACGAGATATTAGCTGCTGCCCCAATATATTGTTTTGTATTGTATTTCAAATACTTGAGTACCCTTCAACTAATTATTTAATTTATGATTATTTACATTTTTCATGTGCACAACTTAAAAGCATAAACAAGCATAAAATGTTAATTTAAATGAAATTTTTTTTTTAATTCCCATAATGTGAATAAATTTCGAATAAACAAGTTTCTAAATATAAAACCAATTTGAAATAAGCAGCAACACTTTGAAAACCAAATTAAAGCCTTGGTCCAAAATTGATATGTTTAGGTGATTGGAGAAGCTGCTGAAGAGTTGGAGACGTCTCAACAAAGCTATTTTGCCCCTTTCGAGGGCACAGTAAGACCCTCTTTGAATGTGTTGGCACTTTACGGGTATTTCTCTCGTCATCGTCGTCCCTTTTGGAACTGCTGAGTCCCTTTGGGAGACTTTGTCGCTTCGACAAACAATGGCAACCCGGCTCAGCAGAGGCAACAAAAGCAAAAGGTAATGCTACAAATAACACAATTGGCTTGTAAAACAATTTGACCAAAGCTATTTTGTTATAACTTTTGAATGACTTTTGCCGAGCTGCGAACCATCATAGGCTGTGTGGTGGCCACTGAGGCGCATTAAAAACTTTTTCCACACGTTTTCAATAATGATTAGTTTGGGTCGCAGACCACAGCTTCAGCTGCTCAGCTCTTTGGGACACAAAAGGCGCACACAAAAGTGTCAAAAATTTGCAACTGTTTGCAACAAAGAGCGAGAAAATCATTTACTGGACAGGCTGCACTTCAACTTTTTCTTCAGCAGAAATGTCAGAAACAAATGCCTTTGCTATATAAGTATTTGTATCGACTGCTTTAATTAGGACACGAATATTGGTTTTCCCACAACGGACTTAAGCAGAAATATCCATTCATTGTACAGCAATACTAAATGCCTTGCCACATACTTGTAAGCTTGCTCGTCAATAAGCTTTCCAATCCACATTCAACCCCAATGGCCCGATTACAAAGACCCGTGAGTGCTCGTAAGACGTCTGACGATTGTTTGGGTCATTTGTGCGTTGATCTGCTAATCCGAAAAGGGTTGCCCTCATGGCAAATGCTGCCAAATGAATCTGTTCCGCTTGTGTTCGTAAAAGTGTGTGTCCATTGGGATGTTTGCTTTTGCCATTTCATTCAGAAGAGGGCTCTCTTTTTCCTTCCTTTAAGCTCCGAGTTCTTTCTGCTTAACTTTTGCTTAGCCGGGATACGTATTTTGGCCAATTTTTTACTTCTATTGTCTATGGATCTAACATAGCTTGGCTATAATTTCATGTCAGTCAACTTTTATCTTTTCAAAATTAAAAGCGCACATTGAATTGATGTTGAATTAAATAGTTAAATTTAGTTAAATCAATAATTTCAAGCTATATCTAAATATATACTCGAGCAGTCGAGTGCTTCTGATCTTTCAGTAGAAAACATTGATTACTTATTTGGTACCATCTCTGGGGACCATTTGCGACCCTCGAGTAATGATTACAACATTCGTAATATTCAATCTGGATCATATATCTTTAGAAATGAACAAGTTTTTAATCAATATTATATCAGTTGGTTAACAGCTATATGATATACGAGTAGTGATCTGATATAGTCGGTCTGAACATTATATTTATTTGTCCGTCAGATAGAACCCTTAACGCAAATTTTAATCAGAATAGTTAATAGTTATTTCAACAGACAGATGGATAGACACACAGCCTGACATGTCTTTATCAATGCCTTTCGTCCTGCTAATCTTATCTTTAACTATAACATGTGATCTATATGGTCTAACTACCTTCGAAATTTTACAAACCAACACACCAAAAGCAGATACACTCTGACGGAAATGATGGCAAATGATTCTTGGAACATAACTAGCTGGATATCCATTATATCTGTCCAAAGAATGGCAATTATTAAATTATATGGTAGCATTGGATTTGTTAGATTTCAGCATTTATTTAAGCGTTTATTTAGCTCAGAGTTTTACATATTTGCCTTAATTTCTCTAGCTCTGCCAACTAGTATACAAGTTTAAGGCGCAAAGAAAGGAAACCACAATCAATGGCCCAAAACTTAAAATCGAATTGAATTTCGAATCCTTACACTGAAACCATAAGCAAGGGGGCGTGAGTGGTGGCCATAACTATTGCTTATTTAGCAGGAAACTCCTGAACCATCCCCCTATCTCTATCCATGGTCCGCCATGGAAGGCTATTGTGTGTGGCGCTGCACTTATGCATCAACTTTCTTAAGCCAAATTGCGACTGTTCTAAATTTTAATAAAATGGGGCAAAAGTTTTGCACAAAATGCGCCCCAATGGTGAGTTTTATAAACTAACCGAAGAAGAGAAATAACAACAACAACAAAAATTAATTTACACGCAGCGCAAATGAAACCAAAGGCGAGTCTGCAGGAGAGTGGCAGCCAAGGACTGGGAGGGATTGGGAAGGATTGCAAGGATGGGCAAGGGTTGCGCCAAATGGCGCAAAACTATGAAAACTCATTTAACTACTTAAAAGACATGGTCGACGCTCTGGCGCGTCGCTAACCAGCAAGTACAACAACAACAACAGCATGCAGGGGGAAGGGGGTCTAGTGAGGAGGCGGATAAAACACAAGCAAAACTCGACAACTGGCAAACGGAGTGACAAAAGAAAAACACACTGGAAAATGCAAAACTTGTGTTGACACGCCGACGGGAAACTCACCTGCCTGAAGGAGGGAGGCGGGAAGGGGGCTCTGAAGGATGCACAGACAAAGTGTTGCCGTTACAATTTCACTGACTGAGTGACAAACTTCGCACGTTGCATGCTGCACGCTGCACGTTGCACGTGAAGCAAAAATCCACACAAAAGACGGTGGAAAAACTTGTGCGCACTTTTCAAATTGCTCCCCAAAAGTCCCTCCCCACATTCATTCCCTAATGTCCCTTTCTTTACACACACTTTTTTGTTGGTTCCGTTCCTGCGGCTGCTTCCACTCCCGGCCCTACGTGTGTAATACAAAACCGGTACTTAGTGAAAAGTGAAAAACCAGTGTTACAATGTTGAGCTTTTAACCGTAAATTGTTGCCAGCCGCGTAACAGAGACAAAAACTTTTTCAAATGAACAACAATGAAGCTTAGTGAGTCACAGTGGCTCAGCAAATCAAACATTTTGCAAGAATAAAACATTTTCTTGTATATTCAACTATTACTTTAAAAAACCCAGTAAGGTGCAATAAGCTACAAAAAATAAAATTGTGCTTTAAATTTGTAGAAGAAAAAGCAAAAGTTAGACGGAAAAAATGTTCAAAATATTCATTTCATTTCATTTATTCACTAAAATTGGCATCATAAATTGGTGTGTATCTATAATTAGTTAATAATAAAGAGAACAGCTTATAAAACCTTATCAACTTAAATATATAAATATAAAGTGTGTTTTTACAGTTTACGATTGAACGAACAGTTTCTAATATGCAAAAAAAAATTGGGGGAAAATGTAATCAAAAACCCAAGAGTAGTTTACTTGTGTTCAAAATATGGAAAAATATAACTTCAGCATAAAGTTATTTGAAATTTGTGATTATCGATTTGGCAAAAATGTAAAAATTTAAAATACTCTGATTTCCAACTTTCAGCAACTATCTCGACAGTAGTAACACAATTAGCTCTGAGAACCTCTGGATTGACTTATAGGAGATATTTCATTGAGAGTTTAAAATATTTCTATATGAACTTGTTGGCCGTTGAAAAAGCCATCAAGATATGTAATATATTAAAACATTATTATTATATTTTAACTAAACTTTAATGTTACTAAGTTTCTTGGGCACTCGTATTATTTTTTTCCAACTGAAAATTTTTGTATTTTACGATTTATCAAATTATCGTTAAGAGTAATATATAGCCCCTATTTGTTGATTAACGGTGCAGTATATTAATGCTAAAAACAAATGTATTAGTTTGGGAATAATAAAGAAATATATGAAAACCATGGTGGAACTTTTTCTAGACTTGCATTTCTTTTATTTATTATTTTAATTACTGCAATTCAAAATATGCCACCTAACAAAAAACCACAAAAACTTGTTAATCTGAAATATCTTTAAGCACCACACTTATTTATAATTATTAAATAAATATTTATAATTATTAGATAAATATGAAGATATGACGATATTTTCT